GTTTTTTTGTCTGTCAAACCCTGATTTTATCTCATGTCACGGTCACAGGTACAGATCAGAACCCAATAGCACGACTCAGATAAAACCAGTTTTTAACAACGTTCAGTTTATTCAGGTCTGGGACAGGCAGGGTCAGAACCAGGAAATCCATCAGATAGGCAACAAAAACCAGACAGGGGGCAGGCAGGAACACGAGATCCGAATATGGCAGGCAGGGGTCAAAACCGGGCAGGACAAGAATCTAGGATAGAGAGTAACAAATACTGGAGAGCTTGGCAGAAAAGACAAGACAATCTGGCAAAGGACAAGAGATAGTGAGGTGGTATAAGTACTGTGGAGTAATGAGGGAATGAGTAACAGGTGAGGGGAAGGACTGGGGAGGCCAGGTGAGGGAAGTGAGCTGATTACAAGTAGAGATGGGCGAGTCCTGATTCATCCGGATCATTAACCCGGATCCTAGAAATGAGCTGGTCGTGACGAGTCTCCCCTCTCCATTAACCCGAGTCCTTGAGTCCCACACTTGGTGTGACGTACAAATTAAAACTATAAATTGCGTCACTCGCTACTCTCTTTATAACATGTAAAATCACATTACAACGTACCCCAGTCCATCTACCTACCCTTTAGCAAGTATACAGGATAGCTGCCTGCCAGAAGTGATCGTTTGGCTCAGGGGAGGGGACGCGGATCAGTGAAACTTCCTGCAGACTCGTGGGGACTCAGAGGAGCCGACGGCTCCTAACCGTAATAGCATAGCAGATCCAGAGATCCATACTCGTCATGTGCACGAGCATAGCCCCTCCTCCAGCACCCGGCTCCCGCGCTATCAACAGCAGACTCGCAGACTCGCAGACTCGCAGATTCGCAGACTCGCAGATTCGCAAATCCTGACTCGCTGCAACACACAGCGGATCAGACTCGTGCGGACTCGGAGCCGTAACCATATAGCAGCTGATCCAGAGATCCAGCAGACTCGTCCTCATGCACGAGTCAACAGCAGACTCAGATTCGCCAAATCGCAAAATAACCCTTTTTTTTGTGATCAACATTTTTTATTAAAGCAAAATACACTGTGTAGCGGAGGTTAATATAACGTCAGTTTAATAGATAGATAGATAGATAGTACTTTATTGATCCCAAATTGGGAAATTGTTGTTACAGCAGCATAAAAGGCATTTTACAATAAAACAAAACTACAAAATATACAAGAATAGAAAGAAAAATAAAATAAAATATAAAATATACATGTCGAAATAGAAAATATACATGCAGATATTATATATATATATATACAAATATATATATATATTCAAAATATATGGAATAATAATATGCTCGTGAAATGCATCAACTTTTCGGTTTCACCGATAGGATTTCTACGGTCTTGGTGATGCTGACTCATATGACTCAAATGACTCGTATGATCCGGATCTCTTCAATGACTGACTCAGAAGACCCTGAGTCCGTAAAAGGATCCGGATTTGCCATCTCTAATTACAAGAGCCTGGAGAAAGGCGGGATCTGAAATGACAGGAGAGTTAACATGAGCCAAACCAAACAAACAACAATAAATGTGTCTAACTTGTGACATCTCAGGGACCTTCATGCAAATATGTTCCTCCTGGCTTTGATGATTTTCATATATGCCTTTGGCTCATACAATAATAATAAACCATACGTAATTCTGTACCTGTAAAAATGTAAAAAAAAATCCTCTACCATGTGTCTTGAAACACACACATTATTCACCATCAGAGAGACAGATAATATATGAAACGGAACAAAAAGTTGAATGAAGTAGATCTACTCAAATACTGGACTTAAAGAGGTCATATTCTGCTCATTTCAGGTTCATATTTGTCTTTAGTGTCTCTACTCTGTGACATGTCTCCATGCTTTAATGTTCAAAAAGCTCTTTATTTTTCTCATACTGCCTGTGCTGCAGGCAGTGGCGACTGGTCATTAGGGGCAGGTGGGGCACAGCACCATCTAGTGTCAGCAGAAAGTAATTAAAATAATAATTCCAAAGGAATGCAAAACAAATACATGTTTAGTCATCTGATTCGTCTGTACATTGCTGTTTTAGTCTGCGTTCTTCTAATTAGTGTCCACAGTGTGCCTATTGAGCTGTGTTGAGCGATGAGGGGCAAGCCGCGGTCTAGCCCCTCTCTCTGCTGTCAAAATGAACGTGTACTGTAAAAACTACACTGCGCATGCTCAGAGTCTTTTTCTATTCAATGTGTGCGGCAAAAAAAATAACCACCAGGGGGGACTGTGTTGCCATCCCCACCAAAACGTCATCTCACATAATTCAGAGTTGATTGGCTGTAAGTACGTGTGCCGCGAAAATAGTAGTTGTGAACGAAGAGGAGACGAGAGAGAGCAGCGTATAGCGATAACAATCAGTAAAACGGAAAGAAAATGAATGAAGTTGACCATCTACTTCAGCTTTGGTAAGTTCATTTTATGTCATATCTTTTGTTGATCTTCTGTGTTTTGCCTACAGGCTATTGCTCTGCTGGATCGATTGATATTGTGACACGGTATTGTTAACATGGCCCACCAGTGCAGAAATACCCGGATGTTGACAAGCAAGCCTCTATCACGACTTTTGGTTCACTATAACACACATTTTTGTGGAGAATACGAAGATTTTTTCAGTTCTAGTCAAGCAAATGTATATGTACTACGTATGTTACTAAAGAGGTTTTACATTGGCCAGTATCCATGTGAAGTTATCGTCATCTCTCGGCGTGAGAACAGTATTTCCCGTGTCGGCGTTTTCATAGTAACATGGTTGCTAGGGACGCAGCTCTCGCTGCCGGAAATGAGTTCTCTCGTCACTGTCCAACACATTCTCACTCCCAACTCGTCCTATATGTCAGGATCCCTTAGCGTCACTATCAACGCAGTGCGGGGCCCTTTAGCGTCGATTTTCAACTATCAGGGAGTCCCATTGACTTGAGCGACACCCGTCCCCCTCTCTCTATCCCAGGGGTCGGCAACCTTTTTGATATGAAGTGCCATTTAAAAAAAAAAAAATTATCAGCGTGCCAACGATCGAGAATTATCAAGGGGGGGGGGGGGGGATGTTGAGGAGCTTGACGCTCGTGATCTATCAACAGGAGGGCGGGGGGGCCTCGCTGCGGGGACGCAGTGTGTGGACCTGTCAGCGCAACTTACATGATACCGAATTTAACAACCACATTTAAATAATTGTTTTAAACGGCATAATAATAAGGACGATCGTCCGTTCTGTGATTCTCCAGAACACACATGTTATGATATTAGGGTCATGCAGAGTGAGATGAGATCACTGTCCCTTTAAGAGAGAGAGAGAGGGGTTTGGCGTGTGCGTGTGAGTATGTTTCTGGAAGTGAAACGAGGCAGCAGAAAAACAGAGGTCTGTGATGTATTTTGTGAAACAGAAGAACAGCTAAATAAATGCAACGGCCTCTCAAGAAGAGCTCGCCTCTCTCCAGTCATTTAAGCTAAAGTGGGTTATTGAACCTGAAGCTCGTTGCTTCTGCCCTCCTCGACTACGGTCTGGGAGCCGACAGGAAAGTTCAACACACAGATGGCCAGTCCGCCCCTTTGTAGCATATTATTTCAATGAGAGATGAGCAGATCGCCACTGGGCTTTCAACTAAAGACACACACAGCCACGCAAAAACTGCGACATTTGTAAAGCTCCTTATGGGTACTGCAATTTGTGAAGTGCTTTCTTCCGTGGTGAAACGATCAGCACTGCACCACGGAGGAAAGCGGCAGAAAGTCACCTGGAGTTAAAGAGAGCGGGGCTGCGTTGCGTGCATGGCTTCCTTCTGCAGGTAACGGGGAGACGCGCTCTGGCGGCGGTCTCGTTCAGGATCCGAAAATACAATTTAAATATTTTGCACACTTATTCGACTTATTCCTAGTGTGCCACTGGCTACGGTGCCGCGTGCCAATGCTGGCACGCGTGCCAGGGGTTGCCGACCCCTGCTCTATCCTATCGGAACCATGGATAGCCAGCTATTTGTTTACGTGTTTAAAAAAGCACCAGAAGCTTATATATAATAATATAAACATCTAAGTTTTTTGTGCCCCACCACTTTTGTACATATAGAAACGCCACTGGCTGCAGCACCTCTTTTCACCCTCTGTCTGAAACCAGAGCCCAGTCTGCTCTGATTGGTTAGCTGGCCGGCTCTGTTGTGATTGGTCAACCTCTTAGAGATGTCCCGCCCCTTAGCCTATCACGTACAATGTGTTGCAGCGATAACCAATAGAAGCTTGAGTGTTACATAGTGATGTCACTTGTTTCTTGTCTGTGTCTGCTTGCATTCTCATTACCCAATTAAAGGTGTGGTAGGTAATTTTGGAGAAACCAGCTCGAGTGCGCTAGAATTTGAAAATACACAGCCGGAACAAATCTGCCACTTCCTTACAGAGCCCCTCCTCCAACACACACGAACGCGCACATGACCAATGAGGGCACGAGATAAGTTTGTGCACAGATGGAAAGCTGACAGGCAGGTAGGCCATCCAGTTATTTTAGCCGGGCCGGCTAAAATGATTGGTCGTGCTTTTTACAGTACTACGGCTTCCACAGATGACATTTTTTTATGGATTTTTTTGTCAAAGCACTTAAGATATTCATTGCTATCGGGATGTTAAGAGCATTCCATGGAATATAACAAAAAGTGTATCTCGAGCCGGTTTCTCAAACTTACCTACCCCACCTTTAAGTAATTATGTTTCACTTAGTATTGCATCATTCCAAAGGGCTTTACAAACATGCCTTTCTGAAGCACAATTCAAGACTATAGAAAAATCAAATATGTGATAACCAACGAATATATGTGGGTAAAAATGTCTCGAGGACTCTTATCACGACACTTACTTCTGTTTTTCCCTCACAGGTCCTGACAGTGACGTGTGAGCAATGAAATAAACACTTTTATACACCTGCACTCTGGTTTTGTTTCATGGAAATAACAGAAACACACAAGTCTTGATGAAGAAAAGGGGAAAAGCCCACTATGGAATATTTATTAGAAAATGTATATAGTGCAACAACTACAGAGCAAAGACAAAGAGAAGGACAAGCAATACTAAACAAGACACTTGATGCATTTGATCACAAAAATTTGTTTGCAGGCACTTGAAGGAATACAAAATGTGAATATAATGTTCATTAATGTCGTGGTGTTTACCTTTGAACCAAAGCAGTGTTTACAGGAAGGCAGCATATACACTTAGTTTATACAGTAAGATTAACAGCCTCTTAAGTCAGTACCTGACGACCGATGTCACACTCAAAAAGGTCCTTTACTTTATTTAAGTTGAATCCTGTGGTCCTCATGATGCACAATCACGTAAAAAATAAATGTTATGGAATGCAAAACTATGGAAAAATCCCATCTATTGCAAAACAATTCCCACTTTAAGGTGTCGACAGGGACATATACGACCCGACCTTACGTAAACATTTCATATCATCTAAATTGATTTTACAGAACATGATCCCTTTCTCATTTATGCATAAATTATTAATTTAAAAACAATATTTCCAGTGGTTCAGTTTGTATTTAACGCTTCCACAAAAACGTAAAAAGCATTAGAGGAAAAAAGACGATGCTTATTACGATAAACATGGCTAAAAAAAATGTTATCTCATCCTACAGTATCCCTGCTCTTCCTCACAGTTTGTTATTAAACGGATGTGTCACATTATCTATGTCCACGATGATGAAGAATAATAATAATAAATAATAAATAATAATTCATTCTATTTAGAGGTGCCTTTCAAAGCACCCAAGGACACCTTACAATTCATAAAATATTATAAGGAAAGGTTTAAGACAGTACAAAAGGACCGTAACCGGGAACATGTAGGGAAACAGGAGACATGTAGTACTACAGTGAGTAGGCTGATCTGAACAGGTGGGTTTTAAGGAGGGACTTGAATGTGGTGATTGTGTCAGACTGTCGGATGTGAAGGGGGAGAGGGTTCCATAGTTTGGGAGCAGTGCAGCTAAAAGCCCGAGCCCCCATTGTGACTAGGCGTGGGGTCGGGACAGTTAGCAGGCCAGCAGAGGAGGAGTGGAGGGAGCGAGAGGGGGTGTAGGAGGCCAGCCAGATAGGTGGGGGCCAGATGGGGGTGATGTGGTCAGAGAATTTGGTGCGGGTCATGATCCGGACAGCAGAGTTTTCAATGATTTGGAGTTTATTGAGGAGTTTGATGGGAAGACCTGAGAAGATGGTATTACAGTAGTCAATACGGGATGTGACGAATGCATGAACCAGGACTTCAGTACTGGATTGAGAAAGGGATGGGCGGAGTCTGGAGATGTTTCGTATATGAAAGAATGCAGTCCGGGTGATGTTTTATATGTGGGGTGCAAATGAGAGGGAGCAGTCCATAATGACACCAAGGCTCTTGACCTGGGTAGAGTATGGGACAGGGAAACCGTCTATGATTAGGTCTGGGGCAGAGGTGGGTGGAGCTTTGAAGAGGGTGGATTTGGAGCCAACAAACAGGGCCTCAGTTTTGCTCCCGTTGAGCTTGAGGAAGTTACGGCTCATCCTGCTCCTGATGTCCTGGAGGCAGGTGGTGAGCGAGGTGGGGGGCAGGGCAGCATTGGGTTTGGTGGATATGTAGACCTGTGTGTCATCAGCATAAAAGTGAAATTGGACCTCATGGAGGATGGGGCCAAGGGGGAGGAGGTAAATGATGAAGAGGAGTGGACCCAAATCTGACCCCTGGGGGACACCATGTGAAACAGTGGAGCAGCTGGACTTGTGATTATTGAGTTGTATATACTGTTTTCTGTCTGTAAGGTAGGATGTAAACCAGGAGAGTGCAGCACCAGTGATCCCAATGTCTGCCAGACGTTTGAGGAGCAGTGGGTGGGAGATGGTGTCAAACGCAGATGTGAGGTCGAGGAGGATGAGGATGGTGAGCAGTCCAGAGTCAGCCGCACGGAGGAGATCGTTTGTGATTTTGACGAGGGCTGTTTCAGAACTGTGTTTTGGGCGGAAACCGGATTGGAATGGTTCATGGAGGTTGTTTGTGTCGAGGTGGGACTGAAGTTGACTGGCGACCACTCTTTCAAGAGTTTTGGAGATGAAGGATAGGTTGGAGATGGGCTTGTTATTGTTCAGATCAGCTCCATCAGCACCAGGTTTTTTGGGTAAATATGTGCAGTATTTATATAATTAAAAAATTAAAAAAACACTTATTGAAAAATAATTGCTCTTTTGCTTAAATATTTCTCATTCCCCTTCTTTAGTAGTGCTTGGAAAATATTTGCAGATAAGCATTTTTCCATTATCTAATGGAATAAAAACGTAAAACAACATAAAAGATCCAATAACTTAAGTGCCGTTATATTTGAGCCTTTAAGGGTGAATTTTTCCTTTAAAAGAAGCTGAAGAGACCCCACAGTGAGCATGCACAGAAGAGATAAACATGAAGTAATGTGAATGTGAAAATAAACCCAGATCTGTATCCTCTATGCCCGAGCGTTGTGGTAAAAGTGAAAAACCCACTCTAAGTTATAACCACTGGGTTGTTGGCCACAGTCAGAAGGTTCAAGACCACCGGCTTCTGTTCGGGGTACGAGTAGTACGTGGAGGTGGAGGTGGGGATATATTCAAGCTGAGATGGTGGAGGCTGAGTCCGGATGATGTACTGAGGAGTGGATGGGGTCTTGAGCTTTTTAGTAAGGATTGAGCTGCAAATCAAAGCCAGGAACTTTTGGGAAGCAGTGATGAAGAGAGTGAAAAAAGGTTAGGGAAATATTAGTTTGAATCAAGACAGGGGGAGGAGTTTTCTTTAAAAGAGAGAAAGGAGGTCATAGGGGTTAGAGATCACAAGTAATAACTTTATGAACAATAAGAGACGACAAAATGAAGCATGTTGAAAGTGAATGGAGCTGTTTTTTTCAACAAGATATACAAGACTCACTACTCTTTATTGTCCCCACAATTTGCTAATTGCGTAACAGCTAATGCTAACTCAATGCTAGATACTCGTTATACTGTTTTGTGTGAAGTGTAGAGTGCAGTAGTGGACTGTTATAAAATACATTAAGGTACTGTACCTGTGTACAATTTTGAGGAACTGTTCAACAGCTTTAGTTACTTTGCAGATTCAGATGTTATGCTATTACAGAACATAAGTCGAATAAAAAAGAAACATCGACATACAATTATCATTTAAGATATCCTGTATGCAGTAAAAGTACGGTTATTTCAGGGTTCTTAGACGGTCCAATCAAAGGTTAATTTAAATATTTATTAGTAATTATTTTATTTCTCTTGTAACTGCAGTCTTCGCAAATAAACCGATTCATGTCATAGTTAAGTGCTAGCATGCTAACAGGCTAAACTGAGACAGTAAACGTGGCGAAAATTATAATATGTAATTGTTTGATAATTGCTTTAATAATAAATAAACAAAAAGCCTTTATATTAATTTTTTAAGGTAGAGTACACTCTGCTGTCATTTGCATATTTTTGTCCTTTGTGCTTAACTGTATTAGGTAACATATTTTTTAAGTAAACATGTGACTACAGTAAATACAAAAACAAAGATGATATATATTAGTGATGTGTCGGTCAAGAACGAGCCGATTCTTTTGAACGGCTCTTTGGTACGAACGAGGGGAACCGAGTCCTACTTGGTGAGAGCCGTTCTTTTTATCGTTCAATCGTTGGTCCGCACTCACTGCCTGCCAAAATCCACTCCCCTTAAAAAGCTTGATTTTGTTCCCCAAACGTATTCTGTGAAGACCCGCCCCTACTCTGTTTGGTAGGTTTCAGCACGAGGAGTGAGGTGGGGTGGGTCTTAAGGGAATACGCGAGAGAGAGAAGTCATAACAAGTGGTACAGGACAGGTAGACAACGTGTTTTTCGGATGGAAAATGAGCCAAACTTGAAAGCGCAGCAGCATTTGGATGCACTTCAACCAAAACCCAGGCAGTGATAAAGCGCACCATTTGTAAAGGCAAAATATCCTTTAAAGCAGGGTCAACAAATAATCTCCATCGCCACTTAAAAACACGGTATCTAATATTAAGACTTGCGTGAATTTCATTCAAGGCAAGGCAACTTTATTTACTTAACACATACAGAGGGTCAATTCAAAGTATCCATGTCATCATCCATGTCATTCACTGACATGAATGACATGGATATGGCGCCACCTTGTGTCATGTTTACAATGCAGATTTTTGACATTAGGTCTGGCAATACAGTCAATCATTATCCTGGTGATTATTTCGCAGATAAACCTAGTAACCCCGCCCCCTTTGAAAAAACGGCTCTTTTGAACGGCTCTTTTGAACGGCTCTTTGAAAGGAACGGAGCCATAAGATCCGGCTCCCTTCAAAGAGCCATAATTCCCATCACTAATATATATTTACATTTTTTGGGTAAATGTTATTCACCAGTCTATTTTAGCAATGTATTTACTGCATTTACATTTTGAAGCATGCAACACATCTGCTTACCAAAATAACTCCAGTTCCGACGAACACGCCCAACACCACCGGTGCATTTCTGTTGAAGACATCAACAATCACCCCAGGACAAGCCTGTAGCACCAAGAAAAAAGGGAATTATTGTCGGTTCAACACATATAAACCTAGAATGTACATATTTCTAAAGTTAATACAGATCGTAACTCAAAATCCCACAACACTGGAGAGATAATAGTTAATTGCTCGCATGCTAACAGTCTAAGATAGGCTAGCAACAAAGAGACTAAATGTGGTAAATATTCTAAGAGAAGGAGGAAAGGGGTGTTTTTTGTATCCGTTGCAAACACACGTAAACATACATTTTAAGTGTCTTTAAGTGAACATATAATAACTCAAAATCAAACGATTTGTCACAGTTAACTGCTAGCATGCTAACAAGAATAATTATTATAGTAAACGTGGCAAATATTAGAAGGAAAATATGAAAAATAGATGTTAATTTTTGGTCAGCTTACACACACGTAAACCTACATTGTAATAGTGTTTTAAGTGAACACATAATAACTCAAAATCCTACAATACTGGAGGGATATACAAACTTAGTTTTGTCATAGTTAACTGCAAGCATGCTAACAGGCTAAACTATGTTAGTAAACGTGTCGAATATTATATGAAAAAAGGTGTTTATTTATTTGTCCGTTTCAAATACAGGTTAACCAACATTGCAATACTGTCTTAAAGTGGACCTATCATGCTATATTTGAATAATATATTGTAGGGCCATATAAAACATGTCTGTGAATTTTTTTTTTCAAAATACCAAACAGATCATGCATTTTAGCCATGCCTCATTTTGCTCTATGTTGCTCTCCTCCAGCCCTGTCTTTGCATGAGCTGCAGCTGACCACGCCCCCCTGCAAAGGAGGGGGGCGAGGCATGAGCGTCATGTTACCATGCTGTTACCATGCTGTTACCATGCCACGGCAACCTCTCATTCCCCTGATAGGTGGATAGTTGGCCATATAGGCGGAGCTCCTCGTTCCTGACGTCAGAGAACTGTTCAAATCTGGATCAGTTTTTATCAGATCCGTTGCAGCCCCGTTTTTAGAGATTTGGGTATGGAGGAAAATAGAGAGGGTTGTGTTTTCTGACACTTGGTGAGTTCCCTGGAACACCGGGGACACATATTCATGTATAAAAGATGTACAAAAGTGCATTTTGCATGATAGGTCCCCTTTAAGTGAACATATATAATAACTAAAATCAAATGATACCGGGCAGATATACTAACTTTGTGTTGTCATATTTAATTGCTAACAGGCTAAATCATGATAATAAACGCTGAAATATAAAAAGATAAAAATTAAAGAAGAGGTAAAAGGGTGTTTATTTTTTGTTAGTTTTAACCTGTTAAGCCCAGAGCCTGTTTTCCAGGTCTCAGAACAAATGACCATAACTTCACTTCTAAAAGGGGTAAATTAATAATCTTTTTTCTCAAAGTAATGATAAACCTGTGAGTTGGATGTAGAAAAGTAAGAATCAATATAGAATTTTTTTATTTTAAAGTAAATTTAGATTGAACATAGAAAAAAAAAAAAAAACTCATTTGGGTGGATTTGACCTATCTCTGGCCCCCCCTTGGTCGATTTTGATGATTGACATCTCTTTTTAACCGCTAGAGCCAATAGAATCAAGGGGAAGTTCCACATACACACACACGTTACCAAATAAGGAGTGAGAGTGACGCGAAGCCAAAACAGGAAGCTGTCATAAGCTATCATTAGCAGCTAATATGAAAACTCAGTTTTTGATATAAAAATGGAATTATGGATTATCAATAATTTGTTCAAAGTGACAGACACATTGGATTAACCTATGGATTAACCTTCAGCCAAGTTTTTCTCGTTTTAATGCCATTGAACACAACTTTTGATCAGAATAACAGCAAAAGGTGAGCATATCTCCATGTTTTGCTACCTAAAGCTACGTTGTGTGCTGTCTGTATTTGCTTCCCCTGTCGCGAGATCTGATCGCTCAGTGATGATACTTATACTTCTAGAATCTGTGGAATGTCAGCTTGTTAGCTAAGCTTTTTTGTGCAGATCCGATAAGTATATCGATCGGTATAGCTAGAGATCTGTGCTAAGTGCGTTAGCATGTTCTCGCTCAGGGCTCATTTAGACCCTTCTTGTGAGACTTGTGTTTTGTTTCGGTGAAAATTGTTTGTATCATCAGTTAGCTGAGTTTCTTCCCGTTTGGATGGTATGACACATTCATAGTTTTTTAAATATTAAGAAGCCCTGAGACACAGTGTTGTGAAAAAAAAAAGAAAAGCCCCGCCGGCGGGGTCTTTGGGGCTTAACTAAACACAAGTTAACTCACATTGTAAGTGTCTTTATGTCGTAACTCAAATTCATACAATACTGGACACATAAGCATGGATTTGTCATAGTAAATTAGCATGCTAACAGGCTAAATTACGACAGTAAACTGCTAAGTGGCATTAACTTACATCCATCTTGATGTGTTCCCAAATGGTGTCTGGGTCGGGACAGGTTTCCTTAGCAAAGTCTAACGACGGTATCCCGGTCGCTCCACAGCAGTGAAGCTACAGAGGAACGAGATGAAGGGAGATTTAAAACACTGACAATTAAATAAATAAGAATCACAACCACATATTTTACATCTCACATTATATAATCAATGTGGAAGTAAATAAAGACTTGAGTAATAAGCAAATCTACTGTCATTTGGACACATTTTCAAATATATAAATAAGGCAATGAATTAAGAGGTTTTTTCGAATAAAAATATATTATTAGATACTAATTTTTGTTATATTTTTGGAGAGTTTTTATTGATAACATGTGTTTTTTGGGGGGTTATTTATTAGTTAAGTAGCACTTTTAGATTAAATTAAATTATTTTTATATGGTTCATTTGTGTATTTACACAATTTATTACATTACATTACATTGCATTTAGCTGACGCTTTTATCCAAAGCGACTTACAATAAGTGCATTCGACCAAGAAGATACAAACTAGAAGAAAACAGAATCATATAAGTACATCAGGTTTCATAGAGCCAAAACATTTCAAGTGCTACTCAACTGGCTTTAGATAAGCCAGTCCTTTATTAGTATATAAGTGCTTTGTTAGTCATTTTATTGCTCGAAGTGGAGTCGAAAGAGATGAGTTTTCAGTCTGCGCCGGAAGATGTGTAAGCTTTCTGCTGTCCTGATGTCAATGGGGAGCTCATTCCACCATTTTGGAGCCAGGATAGCAAACCCACGTGTTTTTGCTGATGGGAACTTGGGTCCCCCTCATAGTGCGGGTGCAGCGAGCCGTTTGGCCGATGCAGAGCGAAGTGCACGTGCTGGGGTGTATGGTTTAACCATGTCCTGGATGTAGGAAGGGCCAGATCCATTCGCAGCATGGTACGCAAGTACCAGTGTCTTGAAGTGGATTCTAGCAGTTACTGGAAGCCAGTGAAGCGAGCGGAGGAGCGGTGTGGGAGAATTTAGGAAGGTTGAAGACCAGACGAGCCGCTGCATTCTGGATGAGCTGCAGAGGTCGGACTGCACATACAGGTAGACCAGCCAGGAGGGAGTTGCAGTAGTCTAGGCATGAGATGACGAGAGCCTGGACCAGAAATTGCGTCGCTTTCTGGGTCAGATGGGGACGTATCTCCTGATGTTGTAAAGCGTGTATCGGCAGCAGCGGGTTGTAGCAGCGATGTTTGCAGTGAAGGACAGTTTGTTATCTAGGGTCACACCCAGATTCCTTGCAGTCTGAGTCGGGGAAACAACAGAGGGGCCGATGTTGATTGTTAGGTCAAGAGTGGGACACTCTTTTCCCGGAAGAAAAAGGAGCTCAGTCTTGTCAAGCTTGAGCTTGAGGTGGTGAGCAGACATCCACCGAGAGATGTCTGCTAGACAAGCAGAGATGCGTGCGACGACCTGGGTTTCAGAACGGGGAAAAGACCGAATTAATTGGGTGTCCTCAGCGTAGCAACGGAATGAAAAACCATGCGGGCTAATGACCGATCCGAGCGAGTTTGTGTACAGAGAGAAGAGGAGGGGACCAAAGACAGAGCCCTGAGGGACCCCTGTAGTTAATTGACAAGGGTCAGACTCGGACCCTCTCCAAGTTACCCTGTAGGTGCAGTCTTTGAGGCATGAGGTGAGGAGGGTAAGTGCAGAGGCCGAAACTTCAAGTTCTTGGAGAGTGCGAAGGAGGATCTGATGATTCACCGTGTCGAATGCAGCTGACAGGTCCAAAAGGATGATGACAGAGGAGAGGGAGGCTGCTTTAGCCGTGTGCAGTTCCTCAGAGACAGCGAGGAGAGCAGTTTCTGTGGAGTGACCTGCCTTGAAACCAGACTGGTGCGGATCAAGAAGGTTGTTCTGATGGAGATAACGGGAGAGTTGTTTAAAGACAGCGCGTTCAAGTGTTTTAGACAGGAACGGGAGGAGAGAGACAGGCCTGTAGTTTATAACATCAGACGGGTTGAGAGTGGGTTTCTTTAGGAGAGGGTTTACTCTTGCCTCCTTGAGACTGTTTGGAAAGTGACCAGAAGTTAGAGAAGTGTTGATGAAATGGGTGAGAAACGGTAGAATATCAGGAGCGATAGTTTGAAGGAGGTTTGATGGGATAGGGTCCAGAGGACAAGTGGTAGGACGGGCAGAGGTAATGAGGTTAAGAACCTCACTTGGAGAGAGAGGGGAAAAGGAGGTTAGTTATTATAGGTTATTACATTTTAATCATCTATTTCATACTGTCTTTTATTTTACATTGTATTAAAAACACTCTGGTTCGGTGTGAGTAATTCATGTTGCCATTTCAAGTCTGAAACAATATAAGACAAACAACAATTTTGAATTAAAGTTGTAATCTTCTTCCATTTAACAAATGGAAGAAGGAAATAAAGTGCTTACCAGTTTTTGGATGAATGTGAGAGTGACAGCAAGAACTGGGTCGCTGTTAGCCACATACAGCACATATATGCTAGAGTAGAACTCTGCAATTCTCAATCCAATCTGAAAAATAAAACACAATTTCATGAACACACATAAAGTATTTTCATTTTAAACATTTATTCTTCTCTTGTTTGTTTTCCTTCCATCTTACCTCCTCTTTGCTGGAATAAGCAATCACTCCAAAAACAATCACAGCTCCTGCCAGGATGGTCACCAGGACCAAAAACTACACAGAGAGGAAGCGGAAAGTAAACGCAGCTGATTTCTTGAGAAACTGAAGGATATTTATACATTCTCCGTTCCTCGCTCGCATGTGGAACTTTCTCAATAGGAAACTGAGAAAATAATGCTCCTTTTCAGGTTGTTATGTTTGCATATTAGACAAAGGAAACCACATATCTAAAAGTGAGTTCTGCACTAGTTACAGTAAGCCAGTTGTGTAAGGCAGGCTTTTGCAATCACATAAAATGGCTGTATACACAGAAGTCACTGTGTTAAGAAGTCTCACCGTTAGCAGAGCGCATCGTTTCTCGTTGCAGGCGCCGTAGACTCCAAACACGACGACGATCAGCATCACCAAGCCCGTGATAATCAGGACAGTCACCGCTTAAAAAAATATATAAAGATCTGTGAGTAAATATGTTTCAGACACACAATATGTTTATTCTGGAGAAGTCATGTCACATATGTACTGACCAATAACGAATGTACTTGAGTTGAAGTCTTCAATTTCAAAGAAAGCTCTGGTGCCATCGCTGAACCTCAGCCACAGGCCCAGACCCAGGAACACAAATCCCACCAGCTGCACAACCACAGAAAAACACAAAGAATAACCACAGTGTGAATGTGCATCAGACTCGAATCTTCACACGGTTTCACATTCAGATTTATGGTTTCGGTCGCTGCTGTATTTTCGGGTTTGTTCACGCTGTGTGGTATAAGAGGTGTCATGACTCCCCACATTTCTTTTTGGTGTCTATCTACGCTGGGATCCTGAGTCGTGGCTCTGCCTGTTGCTGTGGTCCTGGATCATAAGTCCTGGATGGATATTCTCGTGGATTCATCTTATTATTATAGATACATGCATTTCCAAACATTTGGACTACCTATGTTGTAAATGTATTATCTTTTCAATTTACACACGGCATCTATTGCACGTCTGTCCATCCTGGGAGAGGGATCCCTCCTCTGTTGCTCTCCCTGAGGTTTCTCCCATGTTCCCCTTTAAACTGTGGGTTTTTCTCTGGAAGTTTTTCCTTGTACGATGTGAGGGTCTAAGGACAGAGGGTGTCGTATTGTCATACTGATATTCTGTACAAACTGTGAAGTCCACTGAGACAAATGTAACATTTGTGATATTGGGCTATATAAATAAACATTGATTGATTGATTGATTGATCATGTAAAAGTGCAGAATGAAACCAACAGGGACGTAGAGGCACACGAACACCAGTCAAACCACAAAATACTCACAAACACAAGGCAACATTTGATCTTTAAATACATTAACCACACCAACAACTTTAACACGACATTCTGTAACATCCCGTCATGTCTGCTAATTTATTCATGTCATGTTTAGTTAATCAGGTTCATGTTATTTGTTTCATGTTTAGTTCAGGTTAGATTTATGTTTAGTCAAGTCTCTTTGTTCACCTGTCTAGTCCTTTCACTGCACTTCCTGATTTATTTTGTACTTACCTTTCTCTCTCGTTTCAGAGCTCTCCTGCCCTCGTGTGTCTTCCTCCCCGTGTGATTGTCAGCCCCTCCCTTGATTGTGGCCACCTGTGTCCCATTACCTCATTTATATAGTCCTCGTCTCCCTTTATCCTGTGCCAGTTCGTCTTGTGCCTTGTGCCAACAAGAGAGCCAGCTTCTCACGCCAAGAGACTTTTGTTGCTAGTATTCATAGTCAAGTTTATTTAGTTCCCATGTTTGCAGTTTGCTTTTCTACATCATGAGTGATTTTTTTTTTTACTTTATCTTTATCTTAAAGGGGACCTATCATGCAAAATGCACTTTTTGGTGTCTTTTACACATGAATATGTGTCCCCGGTGTGTCAGGGAACTCACGCAGCGTCAGAAAATAAAACCCTCTCTCTTTTCCTCCGTACCCAAATCTCTAAAAACGGGGGAACAACGGAGCTGATCCAGATTTGCGTCCGATTTGACGTCATATCGGCAATGCGGACCCACAGCCATACTTGCCAACCCTCCCGATTTTCGCGGGAGACTCCTGATTTCATTGCCCTCTCCCGGTTTCCTCCCGGGGTCATATTTCTCCCGCATTTCTCCCGATTTCTGACAAAATCAGATTTACTCAGGACTGTTTCCACTCGGACTTTAATACAGCTACACCATTGTTTGGTTTCCATGGTAGCGTAGCGTGCGCAACTGAAAGTCTGAGAGGGTGAGGAAGATAGTCACAGCAAACAGAACAAGAATAGACAATTCTACCCTCTGCTCACTCCTTTCCTGTAAAATACAGGTCCAGCCCACACATATGGTGCTACAGGCCGCAAGGCAGTGCACTTACAACTACAATAAGCATCTAATACAGCTCCGGCGATCCACTAGCACCCCACCCCCCCCCACGGTGGTTTTGGAAATGCTCCCGATTTCTGAGGTCTCAGGGTTGGCAAGTATGCCCACAGCCCTATCAGAAACGTTGCTATCAGAAACAATGCCCGACTGTGTTGGATGTAATATCGTCTTTGTTTACATTAGCAAGCATCGCTAACACTCAGAGCTAACCTGTACTGGAGAGAGCATGTGTAAGAAGCAGGATATAAAAAGGAACTCACCTTGTGGTATAACCTGAGAGAGAAAAAGTATTTGAGCTTCATACTGTTTCAGAAATAATCCTTGAAGTGGTTTGGAACATGATATGGCGATGATATAACATTTTTTTTAAAGCTTTATGCCCAGAACCAGCATTTTTGTAACAGGAAGTGAAATAGAGCCAGAATGGGTGATCTGTTTGGTATTTTGAGCAAAACACTATAGACATGTTTTTTATATATTTTTATATATTATCTGAGACCTATGCTATTGCCTAAAAATAGCATGATAGGTGACCTTTAAGTAAAGACCTTTCGAACAGCGAACTTTCTTTTGAGTCGTGCATTTGAGTCCAAAGGTTCATCTCAGTAGAGTTTTCTCAATACTCTAATTTCCCCTCCTCGACTCCTATCCTCGAGACTTAGTGCCGCCCACAGGAGATGCGAGCGGAGGACTGAGGAGGGGAACCGAGGAGAGAGGAGGGGAAGCAGCAGGCGGTTAGAGAAATGAGAACTCTTCTCCTCTGAGCGGTCATTTTAAAGAGACGTCCATTAATGATGACAGGTGGCACAGCAGCACTCTGTCTGATGGACAGATGTGTTCATGACGACTTATATTTACTTTTAATTCATTGACAGTGCAATATGATGAGACAATAACAGGCTACAGATGCGGACATATACACACTCACACACATATATTTATATAAATATATACAATTTCAGAATCAAACAAGTATGAGAGAACTCTCATAATAACGTAACACAATCAGAGACTGGATATATCCCCCCCTCTCTCTGGTCGCTGAAATGGGGAAGTGAAATTACGGGCCAAAAGTTGTATTTACAAGTATTAAAAATAAGCATAGGACACCAAACCAACTGAGACCCGTCTGTCCGCCGCATCTACGCACTGTACAACACGCACCTACACACTGTACAACACACACACCTACACATTGTACTACACACACCTACAGCTCCGAAAGCATAATCAGGCTACAGCCGTTGTGTATTTTATTATGTGAAGCACTAAATGGTCTTAGAAAAATATTGACTCTTTGTTTGTAGAGATATCTACTAAACTACAGCATACAAATACAGAGAGTAATGTAGGCCTGTGATATATATTTTACACACTGCTCTGCTTTCTGCACGGACCTCACAGCTGTTCTCACTGTAAACATTGCGTCGCGATGAGAACAGTTACTAAAATAATATCCAGGCATGCAGAGCTGTCATTGGCTGAGATAAGTCCGGCCGTGCGTAACGTCTCCACCGTTCCCGGAAATGCATCCGCGGAGGAGCCGTGGAGGACCCATCAGTGGGTGTTTCTCAATCGCGAGTAAAGCTGCTTCAGAGCCACTATTTCAAGCATACTACGTCATCGAGTGCCGCCGAAGTACTGTTCCAATCTCCAGCATACTTGGAAATCTACCGAGCCCGGCGTACTCCGTTTGGAGAAATATCGAGGCTGCACATGAGTAGACTCCGCGGTCTTAAAATCCCCACAATGCTTTGCGCACGGACCAATTTCCCCAAATCTGTGGCGGAAGATGTAAGGCGGGGCCTCTCATATGACGCACACCTGCACACTTGCTAGCGTGTTCCACTCTTCGTTTTCCGAATGCCAGGAAGTATTCTTGACTCGCTTCTGAAGCAAGATGCTCAGCAGACATGTGCTACCAAGCAAGCGTACTCGCGATTGAGAAACACCCACAGTCTCCTCGGTTAGAGCTCCTCCAGAGAGCCTCCTCGATGCTCGATGCTCGGTCCTCGATGTGCATTTAGAGAAATTAGATGTCCTTCAACATGGCGCGCTGAAATTCATTTCCGGGTCACTACCGGAGGACCGAGGAGTCGAGGAGTCGAGGAGGGGAAATTAGAGTATTGAGAAACCTCTAGTGTCTCTCCTCGACTCCTCTCTCCTCCCCGGAAATCGATCAAGACACGCCATGTTGAAGGACGTCCCAATCGCTTAAATGCACACGGAGGAGTCAAGGAGGGGGGAGGGAGGGAGAAGGCTTCCAGAGGAGAAGAGAGCGAGGATACACGAGAGCAGACTAAGCGGAAGTATTTTCACCACTCGCGCATCAGAGCTCCGCCCCCAGCTGCTCAGCCTCTGCTCACTGCAGCTGTTCTTACGGCCCCTACACACGGCGGCGTGCGTTGACGGTTCAACGCTTCTGCCCATTCACTTTGAATGGGGTGACGTCACGATTCGCCGAACTGCATTCTGGGAGCAAAGCGTAGCTTTTCTCGCAGTGCTCGCTGCAAAAGTAGAGCAATGTTCTACTTTTGAAGCAGAGGCGGAGGCGTCAGCCAATCAAATCCCGCGTATGCAAATCTGCCAGTACAAGCGCTAGCCAATCAAACCGCGTGTATGCTGGGAGAGCCAGACCGCAGTTCATTTCCTCATATGCCAAAAAATGTAGGAGAAAATAATCGTAGCGGTAGGGAATCACCCGGTGCTTTCAGTCCCTGTTCACCTACCGGGATACAAACCGGAGGAGCCAGGCATGGAGGGAGGTGGTAGAGACAGTGGGTGAAACTGGTAGGTTTTCGCCTGTTTGGGGAGTTTATATCCAGTCTACTTCGTTTGAATGGACAGCAGGCATAGACAGTATATTTAGCCACCATGCAATGTTGCATAAAATAGCCAACCCGGTATCACGGCAAGACGTGAACATGTGATGATCTACCATGCTGGGAGACGTGAATATATCACGCTTTCGTCCCTTCAAACGTGACAGTTACACGGTATTGTTAACATGGCCCAAACAGTGGAGAAATACCCGGAAGTGCCAAGCAAATGGTCTACCGTGCCTATTGGTCGGTTTTTATTGTCAAAATTAGATGTTTTTAATTTATTTTTTAATCATCACACTTGATTTCGCCGATTTTCTTGTTGCCCTAGCTGGTCGACACCTCTTTTAGCAGAAACAAAGGCTACATTAATGTATTAAATCGATGTTAATCCATGTGTGTGGAGGTGAGGATGTGGAATTAACGGACGTGACGT